CGGGCCTCGAGTCTGGGGACACTGGCTACTGGTGAGCTGTTTGAGCCTGTGGCTCGGGGCCAGGGTGTGTATGCGAAGAGAGAAATCAGCCTTACCTGATCCCGTCTCTCAGCCCTGGTCTGTGGGCTGCTCTGAGCTGGGCCCAGCTCCTCTGCCTCCTCCTCGCCCTGTCCCTCCGTACCCAGGAGTCGAGTTGCTCCCACTGAACGTGGTTTCTTAATTAGTAAACGAGGAGGTGCCCGCGAGGCTTCATCGCTGTGGGGTGGCACAGTCTTTGGAGAAAGTTCTTGGGGCCAGCAAGGTGGCGTGGTGGTTAAGGTGCTGGACACACACACTCACGCACACACTCTCACACACGCACACACACGGACACCCCCACATGCACACTCACACATGCATACTCACACATGCATGCTCACACATGCATGCACACACACTCACACTCTGACACACAAGCCCTGCAGGGGCGCTGTGGTGGGCTGGGTGGGGGCCACAGGGTGGTATCAGGAAGCCCTGATTGAATGCAAGAACCACATTTCAAGCTTGTAATCGTGCAGAGCTCCTAGGCTGCCGGACCCTGGTCGTCAGGCCTGCCCACCGGAGCAGGGCGGTTTCCTCCCAGTCCAGGGTAGGAGCAGAGCCGGGCATGACAGGGACATGCCTGGGACAGTTAGGCTTTCATCATTAGCCACCTGCCATTCTTCCTCTGCCATGGCAGCCAGGAATGTTGTCATAGTCACTACTGTGTCACTCCCTGTCCCGGAGTGGGGCCGACATGGCATGGAGTGCCCAGCCAACGCAAAACCAGAGGGACGGCATAGAAGAGAGTTTTCATAACTTTGAAGAGGACTTCCTGTCGCAAGCATTTCTTACAACTGTGATTCCCTTCTGCATTTCAGATGAAGATTTTCGACAAAAACCAAGATGGTCGTTTGGATCTTAATGACTTGGCCAGGTGAGTGGCGTGGAGACAAAGTTACCCGTTCAGGACGCCTACTTCTTAGGGGTTCGATGAGCTGGTACAGATCCTTTGGGAACTGGAGCCCAGGTCTCGCCTGGGGTCCAAAAGATCTGTGCACCTTATCAGGCAAACCGCGGTGGTCCCATCGTTGGGTTGGTAAGGTCCTCTGTGAAAGTAAAGAAGCCTCCTCCGTCCAGATGCACAGTGCCGGATGGAGTTCGTGGGTGGGTCACGGGCAGACCCTCGCCTCAGGGCTGGGCGTGGTCCCGTCATCGAATGGAGAGCTGGGGGCCACTGTGGCGGGGTGTGGCTCCTCAGCCCAGATCTCCGAGGTTAGAGACCCGTCCCGGCACTGCGATGTGAGAGGATAGCGCCCTGTCCTCCCACGGGAGCCATCGGGGCAGCAGCTGCACTTGCTGGGATCAGCCGCGACTGTCACGGCGGGGTCTGCTGATGGCCGTTGGCAACGGGGGTCTGTCACTGCAGCCAGCCCCCTGTCTCCGTGGGCCTCTGTTGCTTGCACAGTACTCACCTGGTAAGGGGCTCATGTGCCCGGTGGGGGCGGCCACACGTGTGCCAGGGTGGACTGTGAGGGTGTGAGCACGCACAGACGGTACCGGTCTAGCACTGCAGGGGAAGGGGAAGCGCTGGCCGGGCTCCCTGGGAACACCTGTGTGCGTGTGGAGCGGCCGGAGCGGGACAGCCCCAATGTCCAGGTCGTCTCAGGAAAGTTCCCCCTTCTCAGCAGGGGTCAGGCTGTGCTCCGACAGCAGTGAGTGACGTGTCCGGCGCCCTTCCTGTGGGTGTCTTGGGGCTCCCTGCTCACGTCTGTCTGACTGCCTGTGACAGCCCCACCTCAGAACTCCGTGACAGAGGACGCCCCCATCGCGTGAGCTGGCTCCAGCACTCTGAGCAGTCCGTCAGGCGGGAGGACCACGAGGCTGCATTCTGGTCACCGAGATCTTAGGGGTTCGATGACCTCGTATAGATCCTTCGGGAACTGTAAATAAGAATTCAGTTACAGGCTCAAATCATAAGCAGGCTTTTCCTGAGTGTTGAAAGTCAAGTGAGACATGGAGCAGTTCATTCTGTGGCATTTCCACGTAGTGGCAAACAGCTGGCACCCGGGCCCTTCCTACAGAATGCCACCGGGAGCCCTTATCACAGTGACAGCCCAGACACCCTCTGCACTCCTCCCTGCATCCTGCCGAGGCAGTTCTGTGTATTGATTCTGTGTGCCCCAACCTTGCCGGGCTCAGTCTACTGTGTGCCCCAACCTTGCCCGGCTGTCACTGCTGTGCGCCCCAACCTTGCCAGGCTAAGTCTACTGTGCGCCCCAATCTTGCCAGGCTAAGTCTACTGT